CACACACACACACACACACACTCTCTCACACACACACACACACACACACAGACAGTTGTGCTCCTTGATCTGAACATCAGAAGCCAGAAGGTCGTACACCCCTCTGAAGTTAGACATATTTTTGGAGGTTTCCATAAATTATGAGGCCCATATGTTAAGTTGTTTCTCCAAACAGAACCCCGGAGCCCGCAGAGAATATTCAGACGCAGTATATCAGTCCAAACAGGAATCTGCAGGTCCAGCGGGAGATTCGAAAAGCTCGAGCCAAAAGACGCTGACCCCTCCCAAACACAAGCCACTAGCTGTTCAAGAAGGGAATTGGCTTCACGGTGGCCCTGCTTTTCATCACCACAGACAGATCATTGTGCCCTTCTGTGCTTTATGTTTACTGGTTTATTGTCCTTTGCTGGTCACAGAAAGGGACCTTGTCTGAGATTCATTTGCTGTTATTCTGACAGTCCATGTTTATTCAGTGCAGTGTATTAAGTAGCCTATTTACACTTAGCATGTCAGTTTGGGTTTTGTACCTTTACAATTGAAATACAACGCAGCCAATTTGGTTAAATATGCTGAATTTCCAAGCTTGGAAAGTATATATATACTGTACCGTTCAATACGTCATGGGGAAAATACTTCTTTTTAAACTTAAAGTGTCTTAACTTAATCCATCTGAAGCAAACCTGTCCATTCTTGTCCCAACTCTCCCTGTTATCCCCCTGTGGGATTTACCAAGCAAAATAAAGGATGAAAGAGTACAAAAATTGTACCCCTGGCTAAGTTGCAATGTTAACATCATAACCGTATTGTTAAATTAATAATTTAAATATTACAGTATTTACTTATTGAAATGAAACACGTGTTTTCGCAAGTTTTAACATTAAAAGGCCGGTAAAATTGCATTACGCGTGCGCTCCTTTCGTAAAGAGCAGCGTCTGCTGCCCTCTCGTGGTGCAACTTCATATCAGCTGCGAACATCGGACATTTTTGTAAAAGCACGGATGAAAACAGGATTGGACGTGGAGAAAAAAACAAATTAATGAAACAAAGGTCTCTAGAGCACAGACTGCATGAAATTAATTTCATTAGAAAAAACCTAGTCTAGATTCCATCTGCTTAGAGAATACGTGGTGACAGTCGTAATTGCTGCCGCACAGGGCTTCATTTTGCAGTTTGGCATAATTCCTTTTTTTTCTATTATTCTCGTTTGAAAATAAAAATGCCAAGTATAATAACTGTCGAGATAAATTAAACGGAATCCCGAAACGCTAACTGCAAACAACCTTTACTACGGCGTTACACCCGCACGGCGTATGCTGAACTCAAGGGCTTTCTCACCTTCTCTGATGTAAAACCAGCCGAGGTGTTTTCCGTCACCTTCTTGGGTTCCTTACACGTACATTCCCTACCTTCGCCACAAGGTGTCAGCATCAACCGGCAACCTTTACTTAAACATTGAAGAGGAGCAGGCGAACGGACTCACGTTGTTTCTTCACGTTGTCATGTTTTACGCTGATGAATAATACATGTATTATGAATTGCCAGTGTAAAATATTTTCACAGAAATTATGTCGTGCTTAATAAAACAGTGAGTATCATCTTATTATCACATGAACATAAACTCATTTGAGAACTAAATGTTTAAGGACAGTTAAAGAAGTGAAACCTTGTTCCCATATTCACAAGAGAGGAAGACGTCACAGCTCTGTCAATCAGGCCTGGAAGCAGACTGGCTCTGTCCGAAGAACGAACGTGTCACAGCGGCGCGACAAGCCTGTCCCATTTCGAAGGCTCCTTCGAATGCAGCCTAGACAAACATTGCTATTTTACCGAGATCCTAAGATTCATTGCGCAAACCTTCAAAGGATGCAGCCCCTGTGTATCTTGGCTTTATACCACAATGCATCCTGTGGCATACAAAGTGTCCACATTCCCCTCTCTCACTCGTTTTGTCATACTGGGCAGGGCCATAACGACGAGAGAGCTGGGCTGGATGCAGGCCACACCAGGGCCATCGTGAGCAGCCCAGTGTTTATTGACCAAGACTGACCTGCATGGGCATCAGTACTGCAGACTGACATGGGACCGCTGTCTGACATGCCTCCTGGGCTTGTGTTAGAGACCAGGTAAGACAATAGCTATGTCCTAATTCAGGAGCTACAGCCCTCTCCCGCTGCGTTCAAAGACCGAGCATGACAAGGCTGTTCCATTTCGAAGGTTCCTTCAATTGCGGCCTAGAAATGCATCCTTCTTTTCCAGGGTCGTAAAGGATCCGCCCAATGGATCCTTTGTGGCCCAACATACCCCCAAGATTAATTGCGTGGATTTTTTGAAGGACACAGTCTATAAGGGCTACATAGACAGCGTCATACGAAGGATGCAGCCCCTGAATTGCAGCACAGCTAGAGGCTTTGTTCCACTTCATCTGCGATTGGTGTGTGGGTTCATGTGCTGAGCACAAGTATTCAAGGGTGTTCCATTCCTCAAATGAGCCAAGTGCAACACTTGATGTGCACTTTATCCACACTTCGGCAAATGCTTCACAGAAGCAGTCTTTGGCTACGTATATAAACCACAATGCACTGCATCAGTGACAACTAACGTTGGCATTGAATACAAGGAAGTCTATCAGCTAATCAGTCAAACTTGCCTTCGAAGAAGTTTCCATGTAAGTCCACAAAGTTGTATAACGGATGTTTACATAATCTAGGCTACAGTGAAGGACAACCCCAACCATTACTAACACGATTGACAGCATAGTTGTAGCGTGTCTGTTGTTCACCTCTTCCAATACCAAGTGTGTCCCATTGTTTGTAAGACATACCTGGGCATATATGCTGAATGGGGCAAGGTTCACTGGATGGATGGATGGATACATACATACAGACTTTATTGATCCTGAAGGATATTAAATAACCTTCTCAACACGTTACTGTGTATTTAAGAGGCAACAGTAGTGACAAAACACAAAGGCTGGTTGTTTGAACAGCTTTATTGAAACAATGAGATTCTTATTTTTTCCATCGAGCAACTGCAAAATACAATCTGGCTGAATATGATATAACTATAAATCGCTGAAAGCCGACCCCACTGTTCCGTACCAAGATGTAGTAAAAAACAAAACAAAAACAAAAAAAATTAATGGGAGGGAGAAGAAAAGTGTAGGAGTCACCGCGCAGGAGTCACCGCGCAGGAGTCACCGCGCAGGAGTCACCGCGCAGGAGTCACCGCGCAGGAGTCACCGCGGTAAGCATCTGTATATGTTTGCCTTTCTAATTTTTAATTATGTAAAAAATCTTTAATCACAGTTTCATTTCAGTAGGGCCTGAATACACACAACACACTGATGACAGACCCTTCCAAGACACAAACACGCTCACTCAAACACACACTGCCCACGGGGTCCCGATCACAGGGCGTCAGACTTGGGACAAGGCACTGCGGTCTCTTACTCCATTCCCGGTGCAAAGGCTGCTCGACGGACCAGCAGAAGCGGAGCCATTCCTGCACATGCACCCGGAAGGTCACATGACCCTCAGGGTGCCGCGCCGCCTAAAACTCTCTTAACACTTCTAGCTTCGGTTTCAGTCAGGTCGAACAGCTGGGAAATTCATTCACCTTGTCCAAAAGCAGGCAGTTAAGTTCAGCTCATTGAAATGGTAAAGAATATTAAACCTATAGTAGAAATAAACAAAATCTTAACCAAAAATTCATACGACTTTGTAAATAAAAAAGATGTAGAAGTAAAATTTTCATAAACTACCTACTTAGTGATACATCTAAAACCACTGGTGTACATCAGAACTGAGAGACTTTAGGTTGGAGTCTGTGTTAAGATGTGTTCAAACATTCACATGTAATGTAAGACAAGAAGATTATACAAACATTCACGTTTCAAGTCTATCTTATGTAAGGTATATGGTTTCATCTCTAACTTTCAGTCTAATCTGTATCAGATGGGGGTCACGACATTATGAACACCACAGTGAGGGTGGGGGGGGCACAGACACCACAGTGAGGGTGGAGGGGGCCGGAAACATTACCCTCCATGACCCCTTGAGAGTTCTGCTGTACACCAGGGTGCTGCAGAGCTGCAGGAGAACCAACCATCGTCAGACCCCTCACATTCCGACCCAGATGAGGAGGGGGGGCTTTGATTGGCTGAGAAAGTCAGCTACCCCCCTCCCCACCACAGAGACACACGTACCCGCACTCGGGGGGTCCTAAGTAGCCCTTAGCCAGTCCTGGGTCTCACAGCCAACAGTCTGCTCCTAAATTTAAATGCAGACTAGCTTATTCAAGTCCTCAGCTGAATTATGCTAACAGGCATTAGCACATCGGCTTCACCATTGGACAGTATGGTAGCCAATCACGAGGCGGGTACACAGATGAAACCAGGTGGTCTGCATGACTACTAACACTGGACTGAGCGGATGAAGGTGGACGTGTCAGAAGTGAGAGCAATCGCAAGAGAGGGAAGGTACGGCATTTATGATACGCTCAGCATATGGCCCGTGGCAAGCAGCTGGTAAACATCTACAATAAAAAAACAAGGACAGAGGAGAATAGAAAGCTTGCGAAGGATTCGTCCTCCTCAAATCAATCAAAGGTTTTCTCTCTATATTTAACTTTCAGTAGAAATATATACATTCATGACATCGTAAGACGTACGATGGGTCAATCAAAGCAAACGCTTAGGTGAGGGTTTCAAGTTTAGATCAATTTCTTTTTTTTGGGGGGGGGGGGGGTATGTTCCAGAGCACTAAGTGAACTTATTCAGTTTTTTTTCTGGAATTTGCATACGTATTTAATACTGAACAGAACATGTCAGAATGGCTGAGACTGGGAACCAGCAAAACCAGTCTGTGACATACTGTCAAAAAGACACGGTTCCTGAAAGAGCCGCCACACTGTCACATGAGGTTTGCCTTCAGTGGGCGATGCTCAGGGACACGGACGTTAAGGAACCAAACCATCTTTAAGTCCTGAAACTCAACAAATGTGCAAAAAAATCTTTGCAAATATGAATACTACATATATTTGCATGCAACTGAGCTGAATTCTCCTAAGGGTTCATACTTTAGTACAGTATTTCTATTTGTCAAACTCTTCTACAAAATAGAGGAGATGAATATTGCACTTAAGGAATTGTCCACTGAAGGTACACAGAGCTGGGAGATGAATTTCCTACCTCTTCAGCTCCCCTGAGCCCAATGTCACTCACTCCATCCTCGGCCATGGCAGCACGACCACCTTTCAGGCCGTGGAAGCGGAGGATTCTGGGATACGCCAGGATTTGCATCACTTCCTGGGTTCACTTAACTGAACCAATGGCGTTACTAGGAATGACCAGTGGTGACTTGCTAGGAGAGAGTGGTCGTCCTCTGGTAGTAGAAGGCCACACAGTGTCATTTGGCATATAAAAATGCTGGTGCGGGGGTTTGAGAGGGAATCTCCCCATTTCAAGGACGGGGATGTAGTCCAAATTGGTTTAACACTCTTGGGTTCGGCTGACTAACGTGACTATAGGCACTTTCCCGTGAGGAGGGGGCCCGCGAGGGGGGGGCCTGGAGTGTCACCCGACCTGTTATTTATATGCAAATGGAATATATTTTTAAGCATAAAGGTTACTTGGCCAGAATGCCGGAACATTCTACGTACTCATCTCCCACTTTTCAGTGACTTTCACATTTTCAGAGCACTGTCCTAATGGCGGATGGTCGGAGGAGCCGGCCAGTGTTTCACACACACCGATTTTGCCCTGAATGTTATCAGAGATCCGCTCTCCAGATGGCCCAGGCTAAACACCTCTCAACGCAATGCATGAAAAAGAGCCACCAAGCCAGTTAAACTGTTACTTCCTCAGGTACTGTCCAGAAATCTGGGGGTGGGTGCGGGGGCAGATCAGGCTTTGCTCAAATTGAGGCACGATATTGGTGCTAAGGTGTGGAGAAGAGCCAGGGGTGAGGGGAGTCATGGGGACACAAGCACAACCCCTTTTGTCTGCCAAAAGGAGGCCCAGCTCAGGAGCACCCCCTGGTGGCTGGAGGCTTCAGGTCAGGTAGCGGGTAATGGCACGCAGAGCATAGAGAAGCTCAGCCTGCATCCGTGCCTCCATAAGGAGGAGGTTCACGTGAACCTGAAAGAGAGAGAGAGCATTAGAGACATATTCCACAGTCCCACAGCAGGCAGGGTTAGGGCACAATCAATCACATCCTGGCATAAAACACCGGAAAGCGCCATCGACGCTCCACGCAGAACATGACACACACGCACCTTCTCGGAGTGGCGGAACTGCCGCCAGTAGCTGTCGTACATGCGCCGCGTGGTCCTCTCCGGGTAGCAGGTCACGGTCTTGATGTAAACCTTCAGACTTCGCTCAAGCAGCTGGTTCACCTCGCCATAATCATAATCATCATACCTGGGGGTGGAGGGGGTCCGTACTGAGAGGAGCAGAGCAACTCCAACCGCATGCAGAGTAAATAATAAGAATCTACTCAGGGGAAGGACTCCCTTTGCTATGGTGACCTGCAATAAACATGGCCGGTTAATCCACGTGCTTCTCGGCAGGGCTGACGTTCCCCGAGGGCTGCTCACCTTATGCCATACATGCAGTGAACGTAGTTGAAGAGCGCCCTCCGCAGCATGGTGGTGTCCACGTCCTCGTGGATGGCCATATTGTAGTATGTCAGGTTGTAGACCGTGCAAAACCGCTTGTCGAGCAGGAGTCCGATGTCCGAGTAGAGCCGGTTGACCAGGGAGAAGCCGTGCACCTCCCAGGAGAAGTCCTGCATGGAGGACACGGATGAGGACCCCGCTCCCGGGTGCGACGCGTTCAAAGCCCGGATCATCCGACTGCTTCCCACCTACCTGGGCCCGGAACGTGGGGGGGTTGTCCTCCCCGTGCCTGGCGAAGTCCTGATAGCCGAAGGTCGCATCCTCCACGAAGCGGGACACTTGGGAGGTCGGGATCACCTCGTCTTCGAAGCCTGTTGCGATAAAGAGCCTAGAGTAAGCAGATCCATGGGAACGCAACACTGTCGGGGCAATTAGGGCCGTGAGGCAGCCACAGACACGCACAGACAGACGCACAGACAGACACACACGCACAGACAGACGCACAGACAGACGCACAGACAGACGCACAGACAGACGCACAGACACGCACAGACAGACGCACAGACAGACGCACAGACATGCGCACAGACATGCGCACAGACATGCGCACAGACATGCGCACAGACATGCGCACAGACACACACACGCACACACACTTGTGCTCTCTGCTGTCACACTGTTACACAACGCCGCCGCCCCCCCCGGGGGAACAGGCCACCGTAAAAGTGACTTTTGCAATCCAGGTCTCCTGCGGTCAGTGCCGGGGTTGCTTGGCAACGGCCCCCGTCGGCCATCCGTCTGTTTGCTCTGTGGCGCTGACGCCTCATGGGACTTGGAGAACCCGCTGAACCGCGAGACGAACCGTGCTGCTTGCTGCCCGGGACTCTCATTACTGATGCCAGCGCTGAACCCGCGCGATTTTCCCTCACGGCTGACGGATCTGTCAGCGTGACGTCAGGGACCCCAGTGGGACTTTGGACGGCCGCGGACTCGCCGGCGTGGTGCGTGATGTCACACACGTGTGCACAGCGCACGGTATGAAGTCTTAATAACCATCGGCCAGCGACCTTCTGGGCACGTACCTGTGGAGGCCACCAGGAGGCTCTCTTTCTTCTCCTTCTCAAAGCGTGTGGCCATCTCCTCCTGCGATGCCTCCTCATCCTCCCGCTCCTCCTGCAGCCTCTTCATGCGCTCCATCAGTGCCTCGAGCTCGCTCACCGAGTCGATCGTCTGCAGTGGGCAGCAGCACTGCAGTTAGCCAGAGGGGCCAGCACAAGGCAGGGCTGCGACCCTGGATGACCTCCAGAAGACGCATCACCCTTACCCCACCACCACCTCCGGCATCGTCGAAGAATGCCTCCTCTGGGCTGCTGTCGCTGTCCAAGTCACACACACACTCATTGTTGACGCTCGTGTGTGTGAAGCCGTCCGGCACCATGCCGTCTCGCTCGGGGTTCACGCCGGAGCCGAGGACGAAGCTAGCAAGAGCGTGGAAGTGAGCGAGGAGCACGACTGCATGCACGAGCTCGGCCAGGGACCAGCTGCTCTCGCCAGTCTTCACCAGTTTCTGAGAGACGGAGAGAGGGGAGAGAGAGATGCGGGGAGAGAGAAAGAGAGACAGAGAGAAAGAGATGGGGTACAGATAATGAGCAGAAACAGGGACAGACGGACAAACGGTGACACAGCAGGTTAATATTTGATCAGTCAAACGAGATAAAGAGCAGAATCATGATACTTCAGGGTTCATTTTAATTCCGTGTAAAGCCAATAAGTGTGTGAATGTGAGTATGTGTGCACGTCTGTACAGATTTCCCCACAATGTGACAAAAACCTGTAACTTTACGTTGTGGGGACATTGTTTCGGTCCCCACAAGGATAGCCTCAACTTTATAAAAATCTGTGAGTGTGTGTGTGTCTGAGAGACGCTCTCTACCTGTATGTGTTCCTTGGTGAGGAGCCAGGGCCTGTGCGCCAGGATCTTGTTGATGTCACAGAGATTCCTCAGCCTCTGGGGGGCGTACTGGAGCCCCTTCAGCCACTCCACACACACCCCCATCTGGTAGAACTCTCGTGCATGCATCTTCACCAGGAAGGAGCACTGATGGCGGGCCGCGGCCTGTGCAGAGCCGGGATGGACTGAGTCAGAACCAGGTCTGGGTCATCGTCATCCACATCGATCTCATCACATGTCTATTACATATATGTATGTGTGTATTTGTGAGTTACAGTGACCACCTTCCCTTTGCCAGTGATTCCTCTGTCAGCTCTCTGACTGTAACTCCCTTGGACTCTGACTCCCTTCTCAGTTCCCTAGTTCTCTGACTGTAACTCCCTTCGACTCTGACTCCCTTCTCAGTTCCCTAGTTCTCTGACTGTAACTCCCTTCGACTCTGACTCCCTTCTCAGTTCCCTAGTTCTCTGACTGTAACTCCCTTCGACTCTGACTCCCTTCTCAGTTCCCTAGTTCTCTGACTGTAACTCCCTTGGACTCTGACTCCCTTCTCAGTTCCCTTTGACTTCCCTTTAAACAAGCACACTGTGGTAGTCAGCGGCCCAGGCTGCTCACCAGGATGGCGATGTAGTGCCGGTAGTGGAGGGGCAGGGGTCCATCCATGCGCAGCAGGTAGAACTGGCTCTCCAAGAAGGAGGCTAGATACTGCGGGTGCAGGCCCATCACCTGGGTCAGGTGGTCCACACGGCCGCTGGTGGAGAACTCTTCGGCCAGAAGCAAGATGGTATTGCTCTCAGTGGACAGGATCTGCGGAGGGGGGCAGCCCTTACAGATTAACTAGTTTTTATTGTGGGTGCGGGTTTTTGTATTAAATGCCCCCAGGCAGACACCGTGCCCTTGGGCGAGGGGGGGGGGGGGGGCGGCAAACTGTCTTGGTCGTTATCAGTCTGTTGTTGTTGTGTTATCTGGTTTTATGAGGCTCTAAATAATGATTAACTGCATTGAAGTCAGAGCCGATGGAAAGTCCCCCCCCTAGGTATGAGTCACAAAAAATCAAACCCACAGCCTCACTCCTTCAGTGGATGGAAATGGGCTCTGGGATTATTTCTTTTGGCCTGGAATGTTCCAAGTTCTACAAGAATCCCAGGAGAAACTGTGGGGGTGTTCAAAGAATGAAGGGAGGGAGAACGTTGAACATCAGGATGTATTGGCTAGGGGGGCTGAGTTATGAGCCCCAGAAAATGGTTGTGATGCATTGTGGGAAGGCGGTGGAGGAACTGACACCAACCTCATTTTCTGGAATGAAGGAGCTGGGGCCGATGGTCTGGAGCTGCGGACGCTTCAAGCCCTGCTCCTTTAGAGAAGGGAGGAGGAGGGGAGGGACAAGGGGTCAGTCCACAACCTGACATTTCTCTATGACCCGGCCCCGATACTGAAGCTAGATAGGTTTGCCAGAGTAGCTGGAAAGAAGGTCCCAGGATGGGCTTGAATGTTGGACCTTTCAGCAAAGGCTACTTATAATCATTCAGCTGGGGGGAGGGGGGTGTTTATGCTGTGCGGTCTGCTAGTAAGCATACATCTCAAGAATTTTAACCTCAGCAGTCCAGATTGTGAGGTGGTGAACATCCCTGCCAATCCTACATAATCCAATTCATTACATTCCAATCCAATTCATTCCAATCCATAACATTATATTCCAATCCATCCATTCCAAATAATTACATTACATTTCAATCGAATCCTAACCAACCCATTCCTATCTAATCCAATCCAATAAATTACATTCCAGTCCCATCCATTGTAATCCAGTACATTACATTTCAATCCATTCCATGACAGCATTTTGCAACTCCTCTCACAAAGACAAAATCTTAGTTGCCTGAAATGTGCCATAATGACATAATTAATATTCTTTGGGCGTCTGACCTAAGCTGGGTGGCTAAACCTGATATCGCTGGACCGGTCTCGCCGTCTGCTCCCTGAGAAAGCTGCATGGGACTGTCCTAGTGCCCGCAGTCTCCTTCACACTCCAACAGGTGCAGCACCTGCATGACTCAACTACTGACAAAACTGCAGAACCTGCAGGTCTAGAGGTCACATGCACGTACCAGTGGCGGTTTTAGGCATGGGCGAACGGGGCAACCGCCTGGGGCGGGGCAGGGGGGCGCAGGGGGGGTGTTGAGGGGCGCAGAGTACAGTTCACCTCTCCCAAATGAAGCGGACAAGAATGGGGGCTAAATTATGTCAGTGACACCTGACTTTCTTACAAATAACACACATTTCATTCAAAATATTATAAACACAGACCAATAATTTGCACTTTTTTCATTTATTTAATTGTGTGAAATGGCTAATAAAAATAGGTAATAAAAAACCATTATGATGTGAAGGTGATTTGGTTTAGTCTTGACTTTTGGCCGTGAGTGACAGCGTAGGGGGATGGGAAGTCTGTTGATTGTCGAATCGTCGATTACAAAGTAAACACAGCGATGGAGAGAAAAAGGCCAAAGGCTAAGCTGTCAGATGCCCAATTTAGGAAAAAAAAGAAAAGAAGATGAGGAGAAACGGGCAAAAGATAAAGGTATGCAACAATGTTCTCTCTGTATGATTAAGGCATTCATGCCATTATGTTAATTAGTGGCATAACGTTAACTCTTAGGTTTGTTAGCCTTCTTGCTTATGATGCTTGCTATGCTTACCTTGCTAAAAAAAAAAAAACACAATAAAAGCATAATATACAAACCATCACAGAAATTCTGATGGTTTCTATTAAATACCATTATGAACCATTAACTTTTTCCAGTGAAACTATTACAAAATTCCTTATTGTAGTGTGTTTTCGGCACTTTTCCAATAGGATTTACCATCCCACCCACCAATAGAATAATTTAATTTTCTTTAGTGTGATTTATTCTATATTTATTCCATATTTTATTTGTATATTATTCTTAATTTAAAATATTTTTTCTTAAATAATATTTGTTTGTACAGAGTATATTTATTTAAGTTATGAGTGGTTTATATTTTGCAAAAATTGGTCTGTTATGGAATGACATGTAGTATTACTACAATAAAACGCGTGGGGTGTACAAAATGTGAAGTTTTGTCATGTTTTTTTGGGGGGGGGGGTGGCTTGGGGCGCCGGGAGGGAGTCTCGCCCGGGGAGCAGTTCAGTGTAGAACCGCCACTGGCTCGTACACACAGGGAAGCACCGTTACGTCAGGTCAGGTCAGGTCAGGTCAGGTCAGGTCAGGTTGGGGAGAAAGCACTAGTACAGCACATTGACATACCCACCACGAGATGAAACACCTCGGGGTCTTGTCTGAGGACCCCCCAGATCGACATGTGGTCCAGTCCCATCCTCCGGAAATGGACATCTATCTGCCACAGCCAGGTGTTACGTGGGCGTCCCCTTGGCCTGGTCCAGCCACTCAGGTCCTCAGCAATGAGGATCCTGTGAGCCGGATCACCCTCAGAGAATCACTCCACATGGCCATACCTGATGTTCCTCCTCAATGAAGGTCATGTGCCTCATTCGGGACTCCTTGGTCAACTACTCATTCAACACAAAGTCAAACCCAAACCAGCGGTACCCAAGGATTCTCCAAAGAGACACAGTACCGAAGGAGTCCAGTCTTCGTCTCAAGTCACTGGACAGCGTCCATGTCTCACAGCCATACAGCAAAACAGGGAGCTCTAAGGACTTGGACCTTCGTCCTTTTATAAAGATCTCAGGAGCACCACACACCCCTTTCCAGTGACCTCATGACCCCACATGCTCTAACAGTCTGTCTATTAACGTCATAGGAAGAGTCACCAGAGACATGAATGTAGCTGCAGAGGTAAGTGAAGCTCTCAACGTGGTCGACGTTCTCTCTGCAGACAGACACATTGCTGATGGCTGTGCCTGATCGGTCAGTAAAGGCCTGGATCTTGGTTTTTATCCAGAACACTTGCGAGCTCAGACACTCAGACTCCCCGCTCTGCCTCTCGAGAGCCCTGATCACAGCCTCCATTGACTCCCCGAAGATGACAGCATCGTTGGCAAAGTCATGAACAGTGAATCTTTCTTTACTAACAGATGCCCCACAGCTGCTGGACCCCAGGGCCCTGCCAAACCCCCTAGTTCATGCAAGCAGTGCCCAGCGCAGGACCACGAACACACCCCTGATGTCCATTCAGTACCAGTGTACAGGCCACTTATAAGTAAAATCTTAATTAAAATTCGTTAAGCAGAAGCTTTTATTCAAAGTGACATACATTTTGGAGAAAACAGGGTCAAACAGTCACTGGAGCAATTGGAGGTTAAAGGTCTTGCTCAAAGGCCCAACAGTGAAGTCACTCTGCCGACCCAGGGATTTGAACTGCCAACCTTCTGATCAGAAGGACAGTGTCCCAAGCAGCTGAGCCACAGACTGCCCCTAGCTGTTCCCTTCCCCTGCTTATCCGCCTGCTGGACGTCAGTCCCAGTCTCTCCCGTTTTCCTTGGCTGGTGTTCGGCTTTTTCCACAGCTGTCAGGTGACAGAGTCTCTTCATTCCCAGCCAAGAGTGCGGGAGGGTGGGGGAAGGGTCAGTTTGTTTCAACAGGGAGATTTACAAATGAAGGGGGCTGAATCTCCCTCCTAGTCCAATTCATCACTCCTCACTGAGACTTCAAAGCCAATATCCAATTACACAGAGCAGAACACGGCTGGGAACGTGACTACATTAACCACAAGACACTCTACAGGTGCAGTAATTTGAGACCCCTTCCCAGAAGGTTGCTGGTTCAAGCCCCACACTGTCCCCTTTCTGAAAAAAGTACATCGCTGGTCAACCAACAGGTAACACTATAAGTAAAACAAATCCTTCCCAATCAAAAAGAAAACTGTTCTTTCAGCAAAGTGAGTTGGATTGAGCCACATAAAAAACCACAGCAGAAGCGAGGCAAGGGCAGGGCCACATGGTCACGTGACCCACCCAGTCACATGACCAGCTCAGCCTATCCTACTTTCAGCATACTGGGGTAAAGCGGAGACGTCCATTTATGAATCACGGGCCTATTGTCACACTTTCCTTTTTTAACTAGAAGCATCAATACTCCCAGGAATTGTTTTTTTTTTTGTCAGACAGTTCACATGGCACCCCCACCCTCAGAAACATCAGCCCTGGCCAACAAGCGGCGAAAGGTCAGACGGGGTCCATGGATTGTGTTTCTCCAAACAGATGCCCAGGACCCAGAATCTAATCTCCACCAAAACAAAGCTTGAAGAACACCAGTGTGTAGAATCAGGCTGTGTGACCCCCCCGGCCACAGCCTTTTGCCATTCTGCAGACATTTACAACCTGAATAATCTGAATACCCCCTCATTCCCTGATTGGTGCCTCTGCCCTGGTCAGGATGCCTAGAGAAGTTTATGATTCCCTAAAGATTAGCAGGTTTCAAGTTGCAGAGAGATTATTGTATGTTTACACATCTCTGGCCATCCACAGATAAACCTACCAAATATGCAGAAATCTCCCATGCGGCTCCATGAGCGGAGAGGGGATGGTGAAATAGGTCAGCTGACAGCCAAGAGCACCAAGAGCCATTAGGGGCGTCTCCGGATGACCAGCTTCACCCCCGGCGACAAAGCAGCGGTAGATGGGATTGGATGATGATGGCGTGGAGGGTGTCTCATTTAGGGGTCAAAGGTCACAACAGATATCAGTGTAGCGCCTGCAGAACGAACAGGCAGTGTGCAGGTCCGAAATAGGCCCATCCTTACAGCGTCAAACCCACTGACAATCGACAAGGCTTGTCGACAGAGGAGACCGGGGAAGAGACATAAACTAATGAAAGTAGCGTGTTCTGGAGAAAAGCGTGAACACAGAGCCAGGCAAAGTGTTTATGTGACACACCGGTAAAACATAAATCAGGCATCTGGAAGGTTCCAGTCTGGCAGTGAGCAGAGATCACACAGCACACAATGGCTGAGGCTGTGATCTGTCACCTCCACGGCCCCGAATCCTGAGAAAGAGGAACCAACGCACGCCCATTCCCCCCCAGTCCTCAAACTACCCACTGACCACTAACTAGTGTTGGCTGAAGCTGGAACTCAGGCAGGGAGTCCGGCAAAAGACACAAGGAAAGTCAGAAAAGCAGTCATGCTTAATGAGTTAATATTAAATAATTAGATTTTTTACTTTCCTAAATTTCTAAAACAGAAGTTTGTAAAGGATTTGGGGTTTTGAATCCATTGATTGAAACAGGAAACAGAGATATGATTCACGGTTGAAGAGGCATGATATCTATGAAGGCGGGTTTTATGAAAACAAGCCTGGGCGTGTTACAGAGTGTGGAGGGTCTGAGCAAAAGAGCCTGTAGGACAGTCCTGTGGGCTGGAGGCTCCATTCTGCCCTCAGGGGTCTCAGATCAGCTCAACCCCTCAGCATCCCACAGTTTCTCAGCTCCAGCGAATCAGAAACAGGCATCCAGTACTTTGGACATGTCACTCAAAACCTGGCCCAATGCTAATGGATGGGCCAAGTCTGTGAGGCAGGCAGAGCCACAGTCACGCATGAAAAAGCCTGAAAACTCACATCATGCCTTCCTGTCGAGCTCTTTGTCCATCTCAGCAGTCATAGAAGTTTTACTGACACAACAATGTTCTGAGAGCAGAAGGAAAAATGATTGGTTCAGAGAGATAAGAGGAGGCGGGATCAATTTGATGTTATGGTCCCACCTCCTTCACAATCTGATTGGTTATCTCTCTGAACTAATCGATTTTCCTTCTGCCCTCAGAATATTTTTGTGCAAGTAAAACTCCCATGAGCCATCTCAGCGACACAGGTGAGGTAACACCCTGATTTTCATAATCCCCCACATACAAATTGTTTGGGGCATATTTGCCGTCACTGGTGACACAGTGGAGGAATAGGGAGATATGTCTGATGCTGAACAGCTACCAAGTGCACCCCTAACACACAAGACTGAAGAGGGAGATGGAGAAAGTGCCCTCCCCAGCCAGACCAGGGCAAAGTTCACATTCCAAGCCCAGTCTCACAGACAAAAATAGCCCCCATCTGTAACATGCATTTCAGCCTTTCCTACTTAATCAACAGCTAAGTCAATTATTTCCCTGGAAATCTATGCTAATTCCAAAAATGACGGTCTGCTCTGATCAGATTAGCTACCATTGGCCCATCACATGTCAGAAAAACAGCACTAGGGTTCAATTAGGGCATCTAGTTTTTATCTTCTACCAATGATAACATTTAACTACCCTCCCCCTGCCCCACAACAATGAGCTGACTTAAGAGTCTGCTTAAGCATATTATCACCTCCAGGGCGGCGCCAAAGTGTATCAGCTCAGCCATTTCAAAGCCTCTCCTAAAGTCACCCCAGTACCTGCAGCATCCATGCAATACACTCATACGTGTATTTTTTTTTACTCAACCACCAGCACACTATGTTTGGCTAATCAGCACCTCGTTAACTTAACGACTTTAATTAAATAATTAAGTAAGCAGGAGGTGAAATTTAACAAAAAACATGGAATGGCTGGGGTGCCCCTGACTAGAGGTTTGGGAATCGAAGCGGCGTTCATCTAGCCATCCAACAAGATATCAGTAACTTTTGGGACGACAGAAAACATTCTTTTCAGTTCTCATTGTGTTACTCGTGATTTGTACATGCTGTACATACAATGTTAAATAGTGTTTTCATTCTGAGCAAATATACACGTACTATTCAGATAAATATCTTTTGACATTTCCTTTGACTGCCTGTGACTTCTGCACAGTAATGTACCTGCTGAGCAGGACACCGCAGAGGAAGCCCTCACCCTCGAGTAAATGCGGAGCAGACCGGTGCTTGGGTCCCGTGGAACCAAGAACTGGAGGCAGTGGAAACACCGATGCCACCTTCCGGAATGCGCTTGTGTGCACGGGAGAACGACTCGCTGCGACATCCAGCTGCATGCTGGGAAATCTTACAAACCATTCAGACCTGCACACAAACACGGTGCCGTCCTGGCGAGTTTGCCGTCATGTTTCCCGAGTCCATCCTCTTAACCCGCCTCCCTGTCTCTAGGCGGTTTTCACGTTTTTCCGGCCGTTTCCATCAGCACGGCGGGAGCAGGAAGCCAGAGAGCCCATGTTGAATCAGCAACTTGAGTCCGCGCTCCATTTGCTGCCTGGCAGAGAGTCAACGCGAGGATTACAGACAGACAATGGAAGTTTTACAGAGAGAGGCGGGGGGGGGATAGAAACATACAGTGTCCAGTGCAAATTTAAAGAACATAAAAAAGCTTCCAGGGTCAGGCCAAAATCTTCTCATTTTAAGCCCAGTGGGGAGGCCAGCCCGACCTCCCCCAACCCCAACCTTCAGGCTGGAGATACGAGAGGAATTATGAGGGCTCATTCCACAGGCTGCAGGAAACCACAAGGAGTTAATGTTCCTCTCCTGCATCTGGACTCGCAGCAGAACCCCTCTCAGAGGCCCAGCAATCGGGTCCCAATCGCATCGAGGGATCCAGAGGCAGTGGCAGCCACACAGTTAAGGAACTACCGCCGCCAGTGACCCGTTACAGCCCGTCAGGCTCCCTCTGAGGCCATCTCTGCTTCTGGACACACACCAGGAGGACACCCCCGGGCCAACATTGAACAATATCAAGAGGCTGGCTGACCAGCGATCCTCCACCAACAGCCAATACCAGCGTAGGTGAACATGGAACACACACCAGCACCACAAACAGGGCAGGAGAACATTAAGGAACATTCAGCCATGGACAAATCATGATATTTTATGAATGAAGGTATTTCCTGATAACATTACACAGCCCTGAGCAGGGCCCCCCAGATGGGGGTGGGTGGGCACCATTCCAGGTCTAGCAGCTCCCTCATACCACAGTGAGTGGATGAGGAGGAAGTTTGGAAAGTACCAGGGAAGGGGCCAAGAGTGTGCCTCTAGCAAGCAAGCACAAAAGTCATGGAATGAACCCAACCCCGACCGGTTCCGATTAATCTGCTGTGCTCTGAGGGCCAGTCCGAAGCAGTGTGTGGCCCCCCGGGTGTGCGGAGACTGTCCCGAAACTAAGTGGGTCATGTGTGCCGCGGATGAGTAATGGCAGCTAAAAATAGCCCGATAGGCTCTCTCTTCTGCGCACTTTCGGCGGCTCATTCACACCATTACCCTGCTACCATTCCCAGCTTCACGCTTCAGAGCTGCGGAGCCCTACAGCCAGGTCGAACGCCGCTCCGCAGCGCCCCCAGAAGTTTTCAAAAGCATTGAAATGCATTGGAAACATCAATACCACCCCCATCACTCCCTTCACGATATATCATATAAGATACAGGGTCGGTGTAGCACTTAGCCGTGCGAAACGGGAGGGGTGCAGGCAGAGGATCAAACTAATCCCTGGACCGTCACCAGTGCTGCAATCTGTGCAAAATAACGGGCCTTCGATTTTATTCCACTAAAATTAGATTGATTCCTCGTAAGCACTTCCATATTCATGACGTCGGCAAAGGGAGCGACGAGTTAAGCGCTACACTACAGTATTCCAGTAACTTTTACATCTAAGACGCAAAAGCAGCGTTTCGTACCCATCACAAGCGCAAAACGCGATCATCCGTTACCGATCCGGTTTCGGAAACATCAGGCAACATTGTTTAGGATTGATCAAACAGGTTCCGCTGAACTGGCGGTGACATTACATTTTTAATTCAGAAGTTAATTAAGAAGAGTCAATATGCGATCTGCAAAGCGCAGGGCTACCAGGAACAGCACAACTGGGATATGACACGTTTACTGGAGAATCTGTAGGACTCAGACAGTAACATAGGGGAAAGCGCCGACTGCAGTTGCTAGATCGGAACGCAAAGCTGAGTCGAGGACGTTACCTTTTTCCTGATCACTTTCTGACAGTTGTTACAGATGAGATACTGGCCGGCGCCGGGATGGGAGTCGGCACCCACATTCATGGTGGAAGCTGGTGAGCTGCTTGTTCTCAGGCGAAGAGGGACATTTTCCTGTAGTGGTCCGAGGAATCAGCCTCAGCTCCGACGATGGGGCGGTCCGGCAGGCTGTCCAGAGCAGGGCCACAGGCTGTCGACTGTCCGTGCTCCTTCCCCTTCGCCCTGGCTCCCCATACAGAAGCACTTCTCGGGCTGCGACTTTCCAACTTTAGCCGAAGCGCAGCTCGGTGGCCAATCAAGGGGCGGGGGTGTGTCCGAATCGGCAACGCCCACCCACTTCAGCCTTACCCCTGTCCGTAACTTCAGTGGTCTCCCAGATACACTGGCATTAAAAAAAATCCCATTTCCCCTATCAAACAGTCCAATTTGTCATCAAAACGGACTGTCTGCGATCATTTATATACTTATTAGAAATAAATACATTGTAACATTACATTTTCGAACTATAATCAGTTAATCCAATCAAAAATTCATGAGTTAGAATTATTCAGTATGCAAGCTAACCGCTTAAACTATTGACAATCCGAAAAAAGTTCGTAAAAAATACCGATATGGCCGTAAAATTTGAAAACGAGCTATTTATCGTCGGTGTCGTTACAGCTATTTGCAGTTGTTTAAAACAGCTGTAATGACCCTCCTTATCGCTATGGTAGCCGAAGGAATATAAAAATCGTTTTTCTTAACCGTTTGTTTGCGAAATGCCTGATAAGTTGTACGCAGCTCATTTTTATTAGATTTGACGTAGTTTGGCCTCTATATGTTTTTATTGGATATTTGCATCAATTTCTGTCTTGCGAAAGAAAACACCGCAGAAGAACATACGTGCGTGGCGGCACACGCGCGCGCGCACACGTGGATCGTGTGCAGCCGACACCGCGGTGAGAGGAAGGGGATCCAGGTTTTGGCGCGCCGGGGGTTAGCCTTCAGCCTCCTTCCACTGGGCGTGAGTCAGCCAGCCAGCCACCCGTCAAGGAAAGAAGCCTATGTGCAAATGCCCAATCCCTCGCTCCCCCCAGAAAAACATTCCTCCCCGATCGTTGACAGGGCGATGCATATGTTGTGTTCCCACAGGTGCATGCAATTCATCTTGCTGTATGTTAATGATCCAGGTGGTACACATTACATAGAACAAAGCAGCAACACATGAATGACAAGACACCAGTAAACTCAGCCAATATAGTTAATCACCCGAGGAAAGTTCAGCAGCTGAATCAGCAACTGCCAGTGAAAACTGGTAGTAAAGGTCTTTCTATATAGACTTACCATTAATGTGCCATTACTTGTTATAATTAGGTTAAAGAAAATAACTAAGTTACCAAAGCCTCTCCTGACAAAGGGAAAAGCAGTGTTTGTAAAAGTGTATCTCAGAAGGTGTGACTAGATAAGATGATTATGACTTTAAAAGACATGCCTCAGAGACCACTCTGTTTAAAAACAAACAGAGAATATCAGTGTAGCTCTCATCTACAGTCATACACCAGCATATAGCTGAACAGCAAACTGAAAAACAACATTTCAGGGCCTCCCAAGTTTTTTCACCCAGCAACAACGTGATGTCAGCAGAAAGACCGTGCGACCAATCATAGCATCCGCTGCACAGGAGTGAGGTCACACGGCGGTATCCTAGCAATGGCCAAATGCCTGTCAAACCTGATGGCGCTGTGCACTTCCTCTGAGCTATCAGGACAGACGGCGTGTATCCTGAGAAGCAGAGCGTGTTCGTGCAGGATGCCCCACCACCTGCGATTAACAGGAAATCATAATAATAATAAACCCGGCCTTATAAAATAACAACTTATTTAGTTTCAGCAAGTTTCAAAAGTGACTGTAATTACATTTAGAAAAGAGACCAAAGAAAAGCTCATGGCGCAGTGCTTGAATTCTCCGAAACACAGAACAGCTGTAAATATCAGCTGCAGCTTGCGGCTCAAACAGACGGCTGCATGCCACAGAGCAGATCTGCTGTAACAGTGCCGTCCAAACTTTGCGAAGCTCTCAGCTGGACTTTTTTTTGCTTTTAACAGTAAAACAGAGGATCGGCGATGGTGGGAAGAAGGCAGGGTGACGAGCTGTACAATGAGTTGCTGTTTGGTGAGGTCCAACCCGATCCACCATCTCTCCCACTGGGACATTGATGGATTCTCTAAACTCAGCATGTATCAGAACAATAGTGAGTCCAGTAGGTTGTGAAAGAATTTCATAACACAATTAAATTAATGAGCTTCCCAGAGGTTTAAGAAAACATCTATTCATGCGGAGTTCTGCTCTCAAATTTTTTTACCCCTGTATCTCTCACTGGATCTCTCTCTCCCTCTCTCTCTCTCTCCCTCTCTCTCTCTCTATAACCTTCCCTCACGCCCACGGATCATCCAAAACCTCAGTGAAGCCATGAGTCCCATTCTTGCCTCTCGGACGGCCGGCTGCTGGCCCTCCTTCACGCTAGCGACTGCAGACGCATCCACTCCACGTGTTAATTATTATCCATCTCGGTGCCAGTTACGCCGAACAAAATTGAGATCATGACCCACATAACCACTCTGCTGTGAGAGCCGTTTTGCCGCGTGTATGTGTGAGACTCACACGGACGTTCACACTCAAATCTGGTAGTGCTATTATCTTATTCTGTCACCACTAACCCTTCATTGCTATAAAATTGACCAACAGAAAAAAGGAACAGAGTATAGGCTGCACCTCTCCCCCCCACCATGACACTGACCTGGATGAACAGATAGATGTGGATGGATGGATTGATGGATGGATGAATGGATGGAAATTTCAGCTCTGTGAGTGATCAAATACAAAAGGAATTTCTCCTCCCTTTCCTGGTGTCTGTGTTCCTGCTGTAAGACGTGGGCCCTGCTTTTCGAAAGCTGCGTTGTCACAGATGTGAGCTTTCATGTTTTCCCCTGGTGCTCTAGCCCACCATGCTTGGGTCACTCCTAGTCTGTTTAAAACACCACAATCAGTGTCTCAGGTTACACGTGGGCTGAGACTCGTGCAAATCACCTCAGGGATCTCTGCAAACTAACATCACAAGCTGGAGGACAGATCGCCAGCGCGGAAGCGAAGCCCTCGCTGGCCCCCGAGAGCAGATGAACGCCCCCCCCAGACAAAACTGAGAGACGAAACACACTGGGCTTGTGTATAGCCAACATATCTGTTCCTGTGGATGTTTTCCTGTCCCAGAATTCCTTGGTTCTTAACTGATTCTTGATACCTACATGGTTCAAGATCCAGGATTTGAGAGTTTACTGTCCTATGAACAATAAACAGTCAGTTCATAAACTCTGGAATCTTCTCTTATTCTCAGTTCTTGCCATTCTTAACCTGCAGAACATTTCTTTCCACGGAATGTCATAGTGGCTCCTGTGGAGTTATATTGTCATTGCTTTGATTACATCTTCCCCTTAGACACACCATGTACTGGCAGTTTTTACGGGGGGTTTATGGCTGTGTTTACAGAACATTGGGTATTAGCTACAGGTCACTCATTCAGCTATGGCAGATGCCTGCAGGTGGTGAGGTTGTAATATCCGAAGGTGGTTCACGTCAGCTCCCTGTAGCTCCATCTTGACAGTCCTTCACTTGCCCACTTGCTCGACCTCACCAGGACGAGCTTGAGGAGGTGCTGCTGATTGGCAGCCAGCATAGCCCCCCTAACTCCATTTTAAAAGGCACACTGAGGAGTCCAGGCAAGGCAAGATGACCCCCCCCCCCCAACCTCTTACTTCATCCCAGAGCATACAAACTTATAAACCAGATTAAATGGGTGCATCATGTTACAGACACCCCCCCCCCCCCCCCACTCTCAGCTTAAACCCACCCCACCTCGTTCATATACCAGGCTTTACTTTGAAACTGGACAATACATGCAGAGTAACATATGCAGTGTCAGAAGAAACATTTCCTGTATTCGAGACGTGTGTTGATGTGTCTTTCTTTCGAGGAGAAGATGGGGTTTGATGTTCAGTAGAGGGTTTAAATTCCACCCCCGGGGGAGGTGCGGTTGGGGGTAGTCAGGGGTACCATCCTTCAGGTGTACACTGGGCTACGCTGTGGCTGGGGATGGAGGACGGGCAGGCATGAGCATCGATGGCACGAAGAAGCACCTTCAGGAACCGTCACAGAGATGCAGGTATGCACACGCCAAGCACGCGGAATTAAAAATCCCCACCCACCTACCCAGCTAGCCAGTCGGCGGTGGGGGGGGGGGGGCGGTGCTGAACCAGTGAGCCTCAGTGCCTCGAGTGGCGGATCCCAGCACCTACGCATCGTGACACTGCAAAAAAAAGAAATATTTCCTTTAGTTAGCTGCCATCCTGATGCCTGCACATGTAGCTTAGAAGAGCCCAGAGTCCTGCGCAGAAACGCTGAGGAAAGTGAAGCCTCCATCCACACGCTCCGTATGCACACTTCCAGAATCCACTCCCCGGAAAACAAACAGCCATCGTCGAGCCGCTGATGCAGAAGTCAGCTGAGGAGCTGTTTGTCTTCCCTAAATGAATGCTGGGAGTAAATATGCGGAGTCTGGGATTATCCTGATTGACGGATCACTTTATTTTACGGATGAGCTCTCTGGCTCATGCAGCTTTGCGTGTCCTGGATTCTCTGCCTTCCCCTTTGACTTCAAAAAGTCACGGAAGGACAGTCCATTTGTCAAAAATAATCTGCAGTGCAATGCCTTTTCCTCGGTCCCCAGAATTTTAGTGATTAATTGTCATTGTTGACACACCACAGTGCACAACAACGAAATGTGTTCTTTGCATTTAACCCATATGTGACATCGTGACATAGCAGGGGGCCGCTAATTCAGCGCTCGGGGAGCAGTGCTTGGGGGCGGTACCTTGCTCAGGGTACCTCAGTGGTACTTTGCTGGTCAGGGATTAACCATTAAGCCAGCACTGCCCACATTGCCCACTCCCCAGTGTCCGGAGATTGCGATCTCCTGGCTGCCTAGCCAATGAATCCCAACAGGTGACTGTCTCTTGCTCTGCAGGAAAGTCCTGCATAGGCATGCCCTGCTGTTTCCACTGAATCCCCCCCCAACACCATCGGCAAATAGCATCTTCAGTGCATGTGGGGGTGGCTGACTTGTTTTCCCGCGATGACAGCTCCTGCCCGCGAGCTTCGTGGAGCCGTTCTGTGTGAGCACACAGGAGGAAGAAAGGGGGAGACAGTGACAGAGGGAGGGAGAGAGAGATGTAG